AAAACCAAAAAGCAAAGTTTATGGCCTCACCCCAACTGTGAGGTAGCTCAGGCTATTCTCTACCTACCGCGTATCGGTGGAGGTTTGTGTAAAATACAATTACTTTCAGAAATTGTCAAACAGCCTTTGAGTAGTCTTAACGACTAAAACGTATTAACAGAGTCCAATTTTAATGTGCCTGCTGAAGCACGGAGATGTTATTTTTGTCTATGGGACAACAAACAATTAGGTACATTATGGGCCTAAGTAACTAATGGCTAAATACCTAATAGTCATCCATCGATTATAGTGTGTATTCCAGAACATAGTGATCGCCTCCAAAGTGTTGCCAAAAGTCCATCAATGTCCAAGTACCTACTACGAAATCTATCAACACTCCAATCATATGCCTCTACCAGGCGTTTCGAATACGATTTCTAAATTGAAATTCGCCTGTCATTTTCCGATAAGTAATTTATTTTAAACATAATTAGGTACCGGTTCCTGGATTCAAATACGGTAAATTCACTAATCGCCCATTTTGAAGTTGCTCTGAAATGGTTCCATGGATCCAATTAAAGTATTTAAATCCAAAAGCGATTCGTAGTAAATCTAACAAATGACGCTATGTCGTATTTCGTTGTAGATCAGTTTATTGGATGATGATTTTAATTAAGTATAGTACCTGCATACTAATAATGAGGTTCATCATCATCATCATTTCAGCCATACTGCTGAACATAGGCCTCCCCCAATGAACTACAACATCGCACGGTTGGTAGCGGCCTGCATCCAGCGCCTTCCTGCTACCTTTATCAGGTCGTTGGTCCACCTTGTGGGTGGACGTTCCACGCAGCTTTTTCCTATAATATTTAGGTTAGGTAAAATATAAAGAAGTAAGTAGATATTTAGTAAGTAATCAAATATTAAACCGAATTGTGGTCTAAAGAATCGGCGTCTTCGTGCATTAAGTTATTAACCGATCTACGTAGCTCTACATATCACTAATTATATTCCAATTTCCATACGCGCTTATTGAGTTATAGTTAGAGTCAATTAAGCGTAGTGCGAAATATAATTACTTAAATTACTCAGGAAGGCAACGCTCAGACCGGCTCCTTATGACACCTTATGGAAGCGTAATATTATTAACTACAATGTTTATGAAATAAGTATGTATTGTTAAATTTTTGGTCAAATAAACATAATCCAATAAATATGTAGAGTCAGTAAATTGAATGAAATAAGTTTTCAGATAGGGTTTCAGCCTAGGATTCAGAAGTTTGTTTTCTCAACAAAAACAAAAAGTTTGTTGTTTCAACTTTCCAATAACTACGAGGTCAAAAATGTATAAGATTATTTTTAAAATACAAAAATCTCAACGTCTTGGTTTCGTTTAATTTTTTTTTATTTTCTTCTATAACAAACCGTTTAGAATAAGTGTTGTTTCAGTTTTAATACGAGTATAAAGCATTTTCCTGGTTTCTGTGAAACAAAGGTAGTACCTATCAATATAAAGAATTATCTAACAAGCATTATTACAAGAACTCTCTAACAATTTATGATTGTACCTACACTTTGCTTGCTACGCGAAGTATAATTTCCATATTAACCAAAAGCTTGTATAAAAGTAAAAGAAAAATAAAGTTTTGTTTACATATTAAAATCATATTGCCCAAGCGTTCATGTAACAACAATAAATGTAGGTTACCAAAAGCGATATGCCAAGTCGAGACGTCGATTGTAAAAATAACAGTGCGATAAGGACAATAATATTTATGCGGCTATAAAATTGTATGGAGCGTGTAGATAATGTCATATTTGTATGCTGTTTCGCAAATGAGTCAACGCTGAACGTTTTATCGGGTGCGGGGTTGCGGCATCCAGGGGAACTGGCTGAATCGTGTCATGCAGGCGAGTTGGCTTGACACGCGCCCAATCCTTGACTACATAGATATAGTGATTATTACTAGATGAGTAACTACTGAGTTAGAATGTCATATCAGCCTCTTACGCAATGTTGTGAAAAAAACTTGTCATTCCTAAATAAACCTTTATTCCTGGCATAACTCTAGTCAAAAGTTTTGCTGGTTTTACTATTGGCCATGTAGCCTTTCTTGGCTATATGCCGTTTTCTCATGGCAGTTTCACGACTTGCAAAGGTTGCATCAGTTGCATCATATTTAGTTACTGTTTCAAGTAAATAAAATAAAGACTAACCTGAAGAAGATGGCTGCCAGCGCAGCGTTCCTTAGAAGCTTACAGTGCAGTGGAATGCTGATTTTGCTGAAAAGATGATGATGAAAAATATTTCAGTAATCTATATTTTATAAAAGCGAAAGGTCGCTGATTGCTATTGCTGCTAGGAGTCTCAAATTTTGCATGGGGGTTCCTTTTAGAACGTGCTCACTAAGACGGGATTTTGCAAAATTCAACCCCTAAGGGGGTAAAACGGGATCCACGAGTACGAAGTCTCGGGCAGCTGCTAGTTATTAATATATTTACAACCAAGGTTTACAAGGAGTTGGTTAAACTATGAAACTCCAATATACAGATAAATTTTACCTTAATGCTGCCGTTACATTCTCACGTCCAGATGCATTATTTCCATGGTTGTTTACGCCTTCACTCCTGGTTATCAGGCGCCACCAGGGATGTCATTATCACACGCCGAAGAACAATAACAACAAATTAAGGTTAGGTCAATTTACTATTATAACGATTAATAAATATTGCCGTCTGTTACAGACAATTCCGAACTAGCATGACGCCTCCTAATAAGGGCAGTTACTAATAATAACTGTTTGTTGTTACGTCCATAAATCCAATCAGCCGTTTAATTCAATAAACAAACCAATTAGCGATATCAGTAATTCATCACCTATTTTGACGGCAGACTTGATTCAACTTGGATGAGCTTTCACATTTTTATCAATGAATAGGTAAGTAAGTATTACGGTAATAAAACTTTTTAAAAACAAGATTTTATGACGGCTGCCTTTTGTCTCCATTATGGTTAGACCCTGGATATCATCCAAGACCAGAGTACTTGTCTACAGGGTTTCCTCGTTTTGTTACAGCCACCTTCCGGCTTCATAATCAGATCAGCTCATCGTTATATTGCATTGTTATCTCAATTAGGTACATGTCTGTGCTTTCAGCTTAATCGGATGAACATACGTTCGTTCGTTTCATCCGAAAGACGTCCACTGCTGGACAAAGGCCTCCTCCAAGGATTTCCACGAAGACCGGCACCATCCAGGCACCTCCCGCGACCTTCTCAGGGAAACTCCGAGCATAGCACGCTCCATTGCAAGATGAACATACATTGCAAGTAAAATAAGCTCGTAAGGTACCTACCTACTTGTAACCTCAAACATGCCGATGGCGTCTGGGGAACAATCTATCTATCGTAATTAGACTATTTGTAATCATCGACCATAATAAATAATTAACGACAACAACAAACAAATTTTGAGAAAAACAAACATCGTTTGGATGCTGGCCTGTGACCCTTTATTTTTAGTCTCATAGTTCCGGTAGATATCGTATTTTGGACGGCGCGTTGCTATGTGCACTGACTGTACCAGGGCATGCCATCGTAGAGTGAAGTGCATTTAGAGGCGACTGGACCGATAATTTGTAATTAAACGATTTTTATTTGTTTTACATTTAAGTACCATTATTATTGGCTTACCTACAAGATAATCTATTATATTGGACCCTCACTGATGAGCCTAAACTAATAAGCATTTGGCATTTAATCAATAAATGAATATGATTATGATTAATACCACGGTTTCAATTTCAAACTAAGCAAAGTTTTATTAGGGGACCAGTGCTGGTACTGGTTTGGGACTGGTCCCAGAAAACAGAACTTTTCATGTTAAATGTTATAGGTATGGTAGACAACACCCAGCTCAACTCTCAGATAATGTTCTTGCACTTACTTGTAATAAGCGGGAATCGAACTCGCGACCACTCGTACGTATGTAAAGTTCTAAGCTACTGCGCCAAATGGACATTCAAGTCTGCATTCCCAATTCCCAAGGTCCTTTGGAGCTGTAAAAAAATGTCGAACATTTATTCTTAGTTATTTTAGTTTTCTATTAATAAATGCAGAGAAGCTATTAATTTTATTTATTTTAGATCATTAGTATTACCTTTTAATGCCCACATTCCAAACAATAAAATAAATAAACAAAGTAATTATCTTTTATTATGCCTTCACGGTACATTTCCTATATTTTTAATATCGTTTGTTTATATTAATAACATAATTACCTATATTATTAAAGTATTTATCTGTAGGGAGAGAAATGACCTGGTATTTCTCGGTGTATTACCTCGACTGTCGTATTAAATTACCTTATTCTTATGAAAAGAGTATTGTGTTATTAAATTGAGATTTGCTGGAAACTGTTAATGATTTAGTTAAAAATATTTAATAATTATTTTTGTTGAAAATACACGTCGTGTCTAGTGGCTTAATAATGAAAGTTTTTTTGGTACTTTAATCATAGTGAAATTAATTGGTTTAAAAACTAAAATTAACCATAAATATGTTTACTAACGTAATATTATGTTATCGTGTCACTTTTGTTTTTGTAATGATAAAGTTTCATTGGACCGTGTAGATAGTGTTTCATAAAGGCCTATGTAAATAATTTCTATATTAAGTTTTAAATTATTTTGCTGAATTTAAAAAAGTTTAACATCATGACGTGTGAAAGCTCATTTCGTTATTTTAATAACAATAAATTAGTTCACTTTATCTTAGCAATCTATAAAAAGTAACTATTTTTGATCAGAATTTTAGCCCTCACTTCAAAATTATAATAATCAAAGCAAAATTCAGTTCTAACATCTATGTCTTAAATCGGGCGGGCAATAAATCAAAAAGCTATTTAGAGGGATCTGTTATCTTATTGCTATGACAATATTTTGTAAACGGCGTTATCATCATAAACAAGTTTTAAGTAATTCCGTACTCTGGACCTTAAGGGGTTATTTTTAGCTGGAGCCCGAGTAGGAGCGCCTCATTCGTCGGGCTGTGGTGAAGCGGGACTCTTGTGCCGAGGCTTCCATCCTCAGGACAGGACCGGTCGCGATGAAGCTGCAATATGTTGTACGTGATTTGTGTTTTATTTTATTTGTCAATTTGTTTTTATGTGCTTGGAGTTTCGGTTGTTTTCGTTAAATGTTTGTTGAAGTGGTACTGTACTTAGTTTATGTATCCTATGGTAAGGTAATTATGATTTTTACCAACAGTCCAGTTCTAAAATATTTTTTTAAATTTTTTAAAATAATTATCGTATTATTCAAATATTTCCCTTTTGCTCTCGCCACTAGATGGTGGATTTAGTTTCATCTTCCCTTATTTTATTCACGATTTCCTAAGAATTCACGGTACTGTACCTATTAAATTTTGCATACGTAAAGCCGCGGGTAAAGTATAAAATGTGAATTTTTAATTCTTTGCCCATTATCTAATATCATACTAACCATATTCGCGAATTTAATGGCTTTTGTTGAACTTTGTCGAAGATTTTTCAGAAACCGTGAACATTTTCGGAAGCTTTGGGTATTTTGGTTAAATGCTTTCGTGGAACGGAGCAAACCGGAAACAGCTCTTACTAATTTATGAAGTTTAACACACCTCATAATATATCAATAGGTATACCAAACAAAAGGAAATTGACGTATCAATTTACTCAAGCTTTCAAACAACTAGTGTAACAAAGTTAAAGTAGGTACACAGAACTTACGTTATAATTCTCTCGGGTATGCTGCGTTTAGCTTACGCGTTCAAACTAAAGAATAATATGTTATGCGATAGAAAGTACCTTCGTAGAACAAACTTGTTGCACACGGCTTTAACACAATCAGGTCAATTAACTAGCTAATCTAAGAAATGCCCCTCAGGGATAGATAATAATTAATTATTATCAACGAAACTGTGAACAAGAGAAACAACTTTGTGCTTGGGTTTTTTTTAATAATACTTATTTTAATTTATCAGGATATAAACGAATATTTTTAAATCAACCTAGTCTTTTTACCCGACTACGGCAAAGCAAAAGGAGGGTTATGATTTTGACAGGCTATGTATGTATGTATGTATGTATGTATGTTCATGTGTACCCTCGTAACTTCTAAACTACTTATCAGAATTCGACAAATGACATATCATTAGAAGCGTCTTAATTGTCCGCTGGTTATAGGCTACATGGGGTTTCACAAAATCTAATGTGGCGCCCTCTAGCGGACAAAACATAGAGAGTAAAAAAATAAAGTTAAGATAAATATGCCGTGTTTGGTATCATTTGAAAGCGCTTTACTTGTACATTTTGAATATATATATATTACTAGCATTTGCTTGTGACTTTACCTGTATTCATGGGCTGATTGCATATAATTCACATCTATGCGTTCATAGCTTCTTTACTACTTATTAGTTCATCAATTTAACTTTTGGTAATATTATGCGCCACAAATACACTTTATCACCAAAATAGTACAAATAATAAAAAGTAAAAATACTAAAACCCAACTACGACAAAAAACGACGAAAAAGTATAAAACAAGATTTTCAGAATACTGAACTGAACAAAGTTTCTAATATAGTTGCATAGTAATTTTCATGTTTGGAAAGGCGTAGTCACACGTTACATATACGAGTACCTACCTACCGTAGCACTTTGACAACGTGTGACTGCGGTTTTCCAAACATGAAAATTACTATGCAACTATATTAGAAACTTTGTTCAGTTCAGTATTCTGAAAATCTTGTTTTATACTTTTTCGTCGTTTTTTGTCGTAGTTGGGTTTTAGTATTTTTACTTTTTATTATTTAGTTATGGCTTTAATAAATATTCTTTATCGGATCCAAAACTCTTTAAACAGTAAGGGAAACAATTTTCAGATACGGACAATATTTTGGAAACACACTAAACAAACGGTCTTTCTCCGTAAGCTTAAGGATTCCGTGAAATCACGTTATTTTACTAGATCTTTTTTCTGGAATTGAGATTTTACTGAATATATTCAGGAGTAAGTAGAGCAAAACTGAATAGTACCTATTATTTGAACATAAATACTAGTTCTTTCAAACCATTCTTTGTTCTTTGCCATTCTTCGTTGCGTTGGTTTTAAACCACCTATCCTCCTGATTTAACCTCCCTGGTCTGTCCTAGTTACGACTAAGTAGTGTAGGGTATGCTTAATTCCCACTTGGCGGATCATTCCTCTAGATAGAAGATAGGAGACCATAGCCTAAATGTTTTTGTAGGCCTATTCTATATTAATCCCATTTTTTCAGTTGTACATCGCGATGTTCCTATCGCGGCAATACATCTGCGTCCTCGGGAAGGAAGGAGAACTCGGCCTTGCCCACATGACCGACGTTGTGTACACCTGCAGCAGCTACCTGTCGCGAATCATCACCAGGTTCTGCGACAACTTAATCACGATCGTCAAGAGGGACACCAGCTCTGTGTTGATAGGTTAGTGGCATTGAATCAGGCATTCATCATCATCATTTCAGCCATACGACGTCCACTGCTGAACATCGGCCTCCCCCAATGATTTCCATGTTGATCGATTGGTAGCGGCCTGCGTCCAGGCATGAGGCATTAATTTACCGTTAATTTTGCAAGGCAGAATAGAATACATCACCAACTCTTCCCACTGATGTCGTAAGAGACTACAAAAGCCACGATAGCCGAACAGTGAACTAAACACTTATTTGACTGGCTGCCGCAACTCGACTATTGTGGTGAGCCCACTCGTGACACAAGCATATTTAGCTTAGTACGAGGGGCTAACGGGACTATTAGTAATTTTTGCAATAACAAATTGCTATTAAATAATCTTTAAAAAAAAGCTTAGGAACACACATTAAACAGAAAACGGGCAGCAGAGCTCTCTGATAAATCACACAATTCACAATCACATTATCTTTTAATCTGCGATCTTCAACCCGCCTGCCAAGCGTGGAGATTACACAGTGTTTTAGAAACCCTCAAAATCGGACATGATTAAGTTAATGCCATAAGTCGATAGCGTCTTATGTTTCAATCACAAGAGTGAAACTCACGTGTGCTCATTTTACTTGGTTTTTGAGAAAAAAATTGTGAAAGTTGGCCGTTTTTAAAATTCCTAAAAATGAAAAAAAAAAAAAAATTATTAATTAAGAGAACTAAAATGAGCACACGTGAGTTTCACTCTTGTGATTGAAACATAAGACGCTGTCGACTCATGGCATTAACTTAATCATGTCCGATTTTGAGGGTTTCTAAAACACTGTGGATTATGGAAAAACCCTCCACCTAATTGGAGAAGACTTATAGTCCAGCAGTGAACTGTAAAGAGTTGTTGATGATGATGAGTTGATGATGTTGTAATGTTGAGTGAACGACACACAATAGGTGCATGTTTTTTTTCTTTTTCTTAAGGTTACCATCTGCAATATGAAAGTGTTTTTGTAAAGTGACAAAGATTGTTTTTACCACGAGGAAACAAATCGAGCATAGCCTCATGCGGACATATTGTAAATACTAGAATTGTGTATTACGAGTCAAATTTCACCCGAGCGAAGCCGGGTTTTCATCTAGTTGTAAATATTTATACATTAATTAATAGGCACATTACCGTGCAATTATCTTAAACACAAATAGATTATTATTGTGTAATTACTTGTAATATTCAAGAACTATCTCGTAGGTTTTGTTTACGTTTGCGGTTGTAAGTTCAAGTTATATTTCGAGTTATCTCTTTGAGGAACGAGTTATAAGTGGCTAGTTGGGTCCATTTTGATTATTTGGTAATAAATAATAATCGAATGATACATTTCTCAGTAATCTTCATAAGTTATATATAATGTTTTGTCTTCAAAACGCTGTGGTTGACCACTTTATCTATTTTCCTTAGCATAATCTTGTTTTAGCCAACTGGAACTAAAATAAAAGGAGCAGGTTATTTTTTGTGAATACGTTACCAGATTGCTTCCTCATCAGATACATTATAACTATAACTCTTCTTCTTCTTCTGCCTCGCCTTATAACGTTACGCGCGGTCGGTTTTCCCAGTCATGCGCCGCCATATTTTGATTTTATCCTGAACGTCTTGTTCATGGAGTCGCAATACTTTTATGTCCTTTTGGACATTCGTCAACCAATACATAATACTGAAATCGTTGTAGTTTTCAACCATTTCAGTCAATAGTCAGTGTCGTAAGAAATCTAGTGATATTTTGTGGCAGACGACCGACCGACGATCTTTTTAATTACGCGATTATTTACCTCATGTCTTGGTAGTTAGAGCTTAGAAAATGTTTTGACAACCCAGGACAGACGGTCCTGGTGCTGCAGAAAGAGGAAAGCCGACCCCAAATAATAGGAAATGGCTACCACAAATAAGAGATTTACATCATGCCTTGCGTTTCTTGAATATCCATCACGATCCTATCTCCTTGTTACAGACAGGCTATCGCCAAAGTCACTGCTCGAGTTGCGCGACAAAGAGCGCGTGCGTAAACAGGAGCGGTGGCGGCGTGTGCGCAGACAAATCGCGAGCGAGTGCTGCGACCAGCCCTGCAACGTCGGCCTCATCATCAAATACTGCCCGGAGGAGTCCAAACTGTTTAAGGAGAGGCCCGACATCTTCCAAGATTAAACACTTATGCCCGTTTTTACCATCAATCCCCAATGTTTAAATGACCCCTATGGTAACACAACAGGATTTTTTTTTAAAGGAGTCACCAAAAAATTAAGGATTGATAGTTCTATAATACAAAAAGTTTAACTCTTTAAAGTTGGACTCTAGTTTAAAATGACTTTAAACCAGTGCTCATCCCAGGTTTAACTTTTTTTGTAAATAAGGCCGCTAAGGTCTATTCACACATAACAGTGAAGTCAGGCACAGTACCGGTATAGTGTGAAATATTCTTTCCTACATTCTTCTTCTTTTATTTTGGCAACAATTTGGTTTTGAGAACCATGATTTCGCCAATGTCACGTAAACAGCTTTGACAAAGTTACAGGGTTTATAAATTTAAAGATGACCCAGGCTGAACTGTCCCACCAAACTCAATGACAGGGGAGCGCTACCATCGTTCAACTATATGGTTTCCAACATGGCAAAAATCGGAACCAGCGATCCGGTATTGACGGTGGCGCCCCGCTGTCAATGTCATGGATAGGACAGTTCAGTATAATGGAACTAACATTCTCTATGAACTTAACTCCACTTGTCAGTGTCAGAGCCGATACCGGTAATCACGGACGTATCACTGAAGCTCCGTGAACTGAGTACTGAATCATCATCAACAGCCCTTTACAGTCCACTGCTGGACTATGAGCCTCCTCCACTATAGTGGAGGGTTTTGCCATAATCTCCACGCTAGGCAGGCGGGTTGGAGATCGCAGTTTAAAAGATTGATGTTTTTCAGAGAGCGCTGCTGCCCATTACTGAGTACTGAATATGTGAATTGAATCACTGCATAGCACTGATACTTCACTGAGGTTTCACTGATATGTGTGAATCGATCATTATTCGATCAAGTGTTTAGTAATCATGCTCAAAGTTTCAATAACCATCCTCAAGCCGTTTTAACAGACAACTGTACGTAAAAAGTTCATTATTCGCTCGCGATCTCCTGTAACACCATATTTATTTATTTATTTAAAACTTATATGCACATAGACCGGTGTACATAAGGCGGACTTAATGCNGAAGCGTGTTTCAGGTATTGTGTTTGATGTGCGATTGATGATAATGTAAAATAAGTCAGTGTGCTCTCTGTGGATATGAGTGAGTAGGCTGTGTGGATAGTGTTGTAGGGTGAGTGAGTTAGTGTTGTAAGTGTGTGTGAGTGAGAGGTTTTATATTTCCTTAAATAATATTGAATTAAAATAACAAGGTTTAGGTAACGGTCTACTAAATGGTTATTACAATTTCCATGCTTGATTACAAGAGTAAGTATAAAATAAAAGACAATTCGGTACACTTGAGCAGACTTATAATGAGTACCCTCTAGTCACATAACTAATTTGTGCAAATAATTTTCTTCCTTGATGAGGATGGGAGATGAGGTTTCAGTCTGTTTCACATAAATTTTACCGTAGGCCGTCCAAGCAGAGTCCAGCTTCTTATTTTTGACATATTCTCTTGCCACAAAATACAGTCTTTTAGATTGTGTGGTCAGCGACTCAGAAATGTATACAGGGCGCGCTGGCCCCTTCAAGTTAATTTGTTCTGTGTCCAATTGCGGTTTGTTGTTTGTGCGCTTGGTTTTGTTATATTTTTTTGTCTCTGTTAACAGTGATTCTTTCCTGGTTGTAGTTGTGAAATCCACTATTACCGTCCCAGACTTTGTGCGGTAAATATCTCGGATTTCGGAGCCATCGATCTGAGACACAGCGCCTACTGTTATACCTATGTCTTGTACTAACTTGATCAGTGTTTGTTTACTTTCCTTGTCTTGTTTTGGCAGGTTCCGCATTTCTATCTTGGTGCAACAGGTGTTTCTTTCCATTTGTTCTATTTTATTCTCTAATGTTGCGACGCGGGTTTTATATTCGTTGTTCTCTTGTTGTAAGTTGGAAATTGTTTGTATAAGTTCTTGATGTTGGTTGGTAATGGTTTCAACTGTGTTCTTTATTGCCAAGTTTTGGGTCAACAGTGTGGTCATCGTCGTGTTTAACATCTGTTGTTGTGCTTGAATGTCAGCTAGAATACTTGCGACATCAGTGGGCGGCTGTGGGGAGACCACAGGGGACACCGTAGGTTGATCTTCGATTGTACGTTTTAGTCGTTTTGTGATGTTTAGGTAGCCATCCTCCGAATCCGCACGGTTAAGGTTCGGTACCGAACTGGAGTGTGCAGAGATGAACTTTGTGTTTGTATGTAAGTTATTATTTGGCGGGGTGCGTTGTAATTCCATTGTATATTAACAATAACTTACTTGAGTTTTTATCCAAACCAAATATCGGGTGCGCAAGCGATTCAATTTGTAACGGCAGACACTGCACTGTTATTTCCGTTTCACTCCAACAAATTATCTTGTTAGTTATCAATTAATACATTGAACACTGACCGCATGTTTATCTATTCTGAAAACCAGCTTAAATCATGCTTTTCCACCGAATCCAAAGCAGCCAAATATTTCAATGCCAAAATGTGCTTTGTATTATAACTGCAGCCTTTGTTTCTTGGAGAAATACTGCATTGCTCTCGAGAGGATACCAAGTTTTTGTCAGCAGTTTTCGCTAAGGATTCGATGTACTTGCCAAAGTTAAACTTGTTGGACATTTCAATGCCCAAAAATTGAAGTCGATCGGTGATTTTAACATGCACACCTCGGAATATTGCAGCCATACGAAATGGACTTGTGTTTTGGACACGTCAAATTGGAACAGATTGGCATCGCCCCAAGCGGAGACATCCTGAAGAGCCAAATTTAAGCGTTTAATAAGGGACTCACGACAAAATCAAAATCAAAATCAAAATCAAAAATATTTATTCAGTTTAGACCACAAGTGGCACTTATGACAAGACTTGACCTCACGCTTGCTGTCTTTTGCCATGGATAGATATTTGGCTGTGACTGTTGTGTCATCTTCGTACCCAAAGGTACCGGCTTTGAGCAGATCGTTGATGTGCAGTAGAAATAGTGTTGAAGACAGCACCGATCCCTGAGGGACGCCAGCGTTAATCGGTTGCTGACTTGAAGTGAAGCCATCGAGGACTACTCTTATTGACCGTCCAACATGAAAATCGGAGATCCATTTGCATAAGCCAACAGGGATTCCCAAAGATGGAAGCTTGTTTATTAGGCTGCCGTGCCAGACTTTGTCAAACGCCTTTGATACGTCGTTGGGTCAAACATCCATGTTCTGCTCAATAAAAGCAGTTTGGTAGCCAAATTAATGGCTTAATGTTTAATACAATATGATAGCGAATTTGCTATTAGTCTTTTACAATATTTATTCAGATAGTACTTGTCTGTTGTCAATATAAATTTATTTTTTAAATAATTGTTTATGTCAATTATATGGCATTTGCATTATTATGTCAATGTATTCAATGTCAAGTTTAATTTATATCTTAAATTATTTTCCTCCTGTGGCAAGCTTCTATTGTAGGGGAATGTGAACAAAATTATTTTATCTACATTAAGTAAGCATAGGCTATCAAAAATGTTTAGTAGGTCTTTTTTGCCTACATCACACCTATTTCCCATTAAAATGACTAATGTGGTATTTCTTGAAAATGAATTATTTGTTATTTTTCGCATAATTTCTAAATAGGAAGCACCCGGTAAACAATGGTTGATTACAATTTGTCCCAAGTAATAATTATTAATCAATTGGCCCATATCTTTACCAAACTCATCACTGAACATTACTATGTTAGGTTTTTTTAATATTTATTTTTATCAAAGTATTCAATTCTACAAGTTATTTATTCTATCATTTATTCAATTCTAGAAGTACCGTTACACACTACACTTCATGCATTGTATTGGCGTTAGCATTTATAGGCTAATAATTTTATTATTTCTAAAAAAAAATAACTTTATTTCATAAATTAGTAACAATCATTAGAATTCTTAATAAAAGTCTATGTCAGCCTTTTTAGTGACTTCCTAAAAACGAATGGTAGTCACGTGGTATTAAAAAGGTATTGGCTGAGAACAATCGCTAAAAAGGGTTAAAGTGGTCATTTTAAAATCTGTAAAAAGATTAGCTTAGTAATTATTGGTCAGGTAGTGTTATCAGTATTAGTCACACATTATCTAGATATTGTGCAGGTGATTATCGCTCGCTGGCAAGTGGTCGTTAAGTAAGTTAGGTTACTACCTATTTGATTTGTTTGGGTGTTGTAAAATAGTAAAGGATTAACTTAACGAGTTGTTATTTGTTATATATTTTTGTAGATAAGGCTTATTGTTTACAATAATGTATTAGTTTAAAAGGTTTATTGTCTATGTTTTTTACTTCCCTAAATATTTAAAAGAAAAGCTAATAAATCGGTGAGCAGCTTTTCAATTTTGTTGTTCGTTATTTTTACTAGGAGATTCGGGAACTGTGTAGAAATGAAAGTTATCTTAGGTTCCGCATTATTACTTTTGGTGAAATAAAATTATTGAACATACATTTCAAATGTACCCGGGCTCAATAAAAAATATATTTTGCGATCTTTTTAGTATTAAATAATGCTCTTGATAAAAGTATTAAATAAACAAAGAAGTTGGTACGTTATATAACTTTTTTATTGTAAGGTCTTTACAATAAAAGACTTAACCTTCAGATAGAATTTAGGTAACTTATTTCAATCCAAAACGATTCCAACTATAATAACAACAATGGTCCTTCAAAAACAAACCTGAAAAATTCCCTTTGGACTCGAAAAGATTTCTGTATTTAATCAAGGTGAAGTGAAATGGGTTGAGATATTTAAATATGAAAGTTATCTGGCCAGTGATTGATTTCATTCCGTTATTGAATTGATGGGAAATATCTGAATTCTTTCAGATAAAAATGAGATATTAGAAGTGATTTTGCCCATTTTGGGGCTTCGTTCTCGAAGGGTGCTAAAGGTTATCAGTAACTCTGTCTGTTAGACTTTCAGTGATTTGTATCTCACGTAGGTACAATAACAATTAATAATTCTTTTTAATTAATTAGTTAGTTAAAAATTAGGATGGGGCACCAAAATCGACATGTTTCGCTTGAGCTTCACTCAAAGCTGATTTTGTGTGCTTTTAGAGCAGCAGTTTTATCGACAGTTAAATTATGAATTGTCTGTTCAAAAGGTGTTTTGACCACTACAACTTCATTGCAAGGTCCCAAGGGCTCGTGAAGTCCCAGAAACCGCTCCCTCCCAGGGTTGAAGAACACAACGAGCACACAGTAATAGACGACTAGACAATGATATAATCTTATTCGTTCTACAATTATTTACATCTGTAATACAAGGCCTACTTCCCTTTACCACAGTCATTTCCAAAATAAATTCATATTGCCAATTGCTTTACCCAATGCATTGAAGCAACATCAACCAGTCGGTAAGTAAAATATTGTTTGTGTTCAGGCATTCGAGAAACGAGATG